GGGAAGAATGGGGGAAAATGGAAAAAAGGGGGGAAATTGGGGAAATAGGGAAAAATGGGGAAAAATGGGGGGGAAAATGGGGGAAAATGGGAAAAAATGGGGAACATGGGGATTGGGGATACTGGAATGGACTGGGAGGGACTGGGACAAACTGGGAGGGATTTTGGAGGTAACTGGGATGGACCGGTCCAGACTGGTTTATACCGGTCCATACTGGTCCATACTGGTCCACACTGGTCCATACTGGTCCATACTGTTCTATACTGGCCCATACTGGTCTATACTGGTTTATACTGGTTTATACTGGTCCATACTGGTTTATACTGGTTTATACTGGTCCATACTGGTTTATACTGGTCCATACTGGTTTATACTGGTCCATACTGGTCCATACTGGTTTATACTGGTTTATACTGGTCCATACTGGTTTATACTGGTCCATACTGGTTTGTACTGGTCCATACTGGTCCATACTGGTTTATACTGGTTTATACTGGTTTATACTGGTCCATACCGGTCCATACTGGTTTATACTGGTCCATACTGGTCCATACTGGTCCATACCGGTCCATACTGGTCCATACTGGTTTATACTGGTCCATACTGGTCCATACCGGTCCATACTGGTCCATACTGGTCCGAACCAGTCCATACTGGTCTATACTGGTCCGTACTGGTTGCAGAGGCCCGGGAGTGTGTGAACTGCGGGGCGACGGCGACTCCGCTCTGGCGCAGGGACGGCACCGGGCATTACCTGTGCAACGCCTGCGGCCTCTACCACCGGCTCAACGGGCACAACCGGCCCCTCATCCGCCCCAAAAAACGACTGGTGAGACACAGAAATAACAAAATTCCCAAAAAAACCCAAAATCCCAAAAATCCTGAAAAAAATCCTACAAAAAAACCCCAAAAAATCCCAAAAATCTGCACCGAAATAGCCCAAATCTGCCCCAAAATCACCCAAAGGCAGCGGCTCAACGGGCACAACCGATCCCTGATCCGCCCCAAAAAACGACTGGGGAGAGACAAAAATAACAAAAAAACCCCAAATCCCAAAAAAACCCTGAGAAAATCCCAAAAATCTGCACCAAAATAGCCCAAATCTGCCCCAAAACGCCCCAAAACCACCGGCTCAACGGGCACAACCGGCCCCTGATCCGCCCCAAAAAACGACTGGTGAGACACAAAAACCCCAAAATTCACCCCAAAAATCATAACGGGAAAAAACCCGGAAAAAATCCCACAAAAAACAAAAAAAATGCAAAAAAAACCCGCCCCAAAACCAGCGGCTCAATGGCACAACCGGCCCCTCATCCGCCCCAAAAAACGACTGGTGAGACACAAAAATACCGGAATTCACCCCAAAAATCATAACGGGAAAAAAAACGGAAAAAATTCCACAAAAAACCCCCCAAAAAATCCCATAAAGAACAAAAAAACTGCCCCAAAACGCCCCAAAACCAGCAGCTCAACGGGCGCAACCGGCCCCTCATCCGCCCCAAAAAACGACTGGGGAGAGACAGAAATCCCAAAAATCCTAAAAAAACCCAAAATCCCAAAAAACCCCCCGAGAAAATCCCATAAAAACCAAAAAACCCCGAAAAAATCCCAAAAATCTGCACCGAAATAGCCCAAAATCACCCCAAACCACCGCCTGAACGGGCACAACCGACCCCTGATCCGCCCCAAAAAACGACTGGTGAGAACCAAAAATACCGGAATTCACCCCAAAAATCATAACGGGAAAAAACCCCACAAAAAAACCCCAAAAAAATCCCAAAAATCTGCACCGAAATAGCCCAAATCTGCCCCAAAATCACCCAAAGGCAGTGGCTCAACGGGCACAACCGACCCCTGATCCGCCCCAAAAAACGACTGGGGAGAGACAAAAACCCCAAAAATCCTAAAAAAACCCAAAATCCCAAAAAAACCCCGAGAAAATCCGATAGAAAACAAAAAAACAGCCCCAAAATCACCCGAACCCATCGGCTCAACGGGCACAACTGGCCCCTGATCCGCCCCAAAAAATGACTGGTGAGACACAGAAATAACAAAAATCCCAAAAAAACCCAAAATCCCAAAAATCCTGAAAAAAATCCTACAAAAAACCCCCAAAAAATCCCAAAAATCGGCACCGAAATAGCCCAAA